CCGCGAAGGGGGCGGGAGGCGGGGGACGGAAGGCGGTTCCGGCCCGGAGCGCAGGGTGGGCCCTAGCCAGACCTTTGGAGCCGAGGTGCTTTCCCACCGCAAGCTTGCGCCCTCAAATGGCCCTTCTTGACCCAGGGTTGGGGGGCGACCCCCAAGCGTTAGGCTTTGGCTTGGGTAGCAAATTCCCCACCTCCAGATGGGGGGCTGGGTCCCTTAGGCTCCCGCTCCGAGCTCGGGGCTCCCGCATCCCCGCAGCTCGGCTCCTCCCTGCCCGGGTCCCCAGCCCTCCGGGAGGCGTGGCGCTCGTGGATGCGGAGCTGTGCGTTCCCGCAGCGCGCCTGGAGAGGGGGTTTCCGGGAAACGCGCGGCGCCGGGGCGGCTCCCAGGGTTTTCCCGGAGCTCTGGCGAAGGGCGAGCCCCGCGCCAGTCTTTCGTCGGTTGAGGAGGGTGTGGGGGACACTCGCGGGGCACACACAGAGCGCGCGGGTGGGACCCAGCCCTTCGAGGTAAGACTTCGAGGAAATGCGCTAGCAGCAGCCAGCGACGTGGGATTCCAGCACCCGGTCCCCCCACGCGCCGCGCGCAGGGTACATCCCATCCGAAGTGGGGTTCCCAGAGGAGCTGGCGTGCGGGCCTCTCCGGGACCTGGCACTCAGGGCTGGCTTTGGACACCCTTCTCCCTATGATCCTGTCCAGTGGAGACACCTTCTTGTGGACCCGCGATAGGGGGGTTTCAACTCCACCCAGTAGCTGCACCGCCCCTGCACCCGTTTGAGTCCGCTGCCCCCTCTCCAGTCCAGCTGGGTGTCATCTCTCCGGTGCAGTAGCCAGGTTTAAAGACAAACCCCACTTGCTCAGCCTGAGGTGTGGCTGTACTCTCTGCCCCCCACCCCCGACAGCCAACACCCCAGATGAGCTCAGAAGTGGGCTGGGGGCATGGATGGGGCCTCAGAAGGAAGGAGGTGGCCAGGGAAGATTGGAGTCTGGGTTCATGCTGACTCGGATCCTCAGCAATGTGCGGCAGGAGGGAAACAAAAAGGTCCCAAACTCTAAAGAATAGCAATAAGTTTTTCTTCAAATAATTAAAAAATTCAAATTCTTAGCCCCTTATGACCGTCTCTCCATTCTGCACCCGAAGCAGGAATTTTGGAGGCAGAATGCAGGTTTGGAGGGTGGGCAGCCTGTCAGGGGCTTTTCTGGTCTGTCATCAGAGCACAGGACCTGGGATGGGGGAGGGAATGACTTGGGTGGTGACATCACCGGTGGCTGGCATTTCTACTTTTGAGCAGCTCAGGGCTGACAGTTCTCTGCACCGATGCGGAGAGGCCTAATCCCTGAATGTCCTTGGGTATCCTTGAGAAGGAGCATTCGTAACTGGCTGGGAGCAGGTCTGCTCCGGTGTACCAGCCACAGGGCGAAGACCACCTGCCTCGGCTCACTTCCTCCGACTTTTTTGTCCTGCCCCGGCTTCAGGAGGTGGCCCACACAGGCCTCCCAGTGATCCATGGCATGACATCTCCTTAGGAACCCTTTCCTGACCACCCAAATCTTGATGGTGTCCCGCTTTGATCCACAAGCTCCCAGCAACCCGAGCACTGATGATGGTGCAGTCTGTGTCCCCTCCTGAGTTCCTGGGGATACAGCAGGTATGGCTCACAGCAGGGACCTTGGCAGCAACACAAGGGTGGACTGACAGCACATCAGTGTCAATTCTGTGAGTGAGTGAGTGGTCCGCGAAGGCAGCTGACCACGGGGGGGGGTCCTAGGAAAAGATAACCAAGATTCTGATTCTGCTGCCACCGGCTGGCCAGTCAGGGCCTCCAGATCCTTCCCCTTCTAGCATCCCACTTAGCCTCAATTTGATCACATCACCTGCTCACAATCACGTAGAACCAACTTTGGCTACAGAAATGTCCATTAGTAAGTCAGGCCCAGGGGACCCCTGTTGAGGCCAGCCCTCTCCCGGCTCCCTCAAGTAAAATGCTAATGGAGAATAATCTGGTTTGCCAGCAGTCTAGAAGACGGAGGAGGAGGTGGTGCCCTGGTCTTGCCCTTGGTGGGCTGCACTAGGTGGAGAAGGCACACACACAGGAAAAATAGTGATGGGAAAAAAGTGTGTACTAACGTGTGCCCCAACCATGGGAGATTTGAGAAGGGAGACCTCACTGAGCTTGGGGTATTAGGGAGGGCTTCCTGGAGGAGGTGGTCACACTTGGTTAGAGACATGGACCCAACATGTAAGAGATTACATCTGATTTGTTAAACCTATAAGAAATTGTCATTTTGATGTGCCCAGTGGGATCACATTTTGGCAGTTTCATATGGCTTCACCTATCATTCTTACTCCCGTTTGTGAACAACAGAACTAAAACACAGGGAGGTTAAGTGACTTGCCAAATTCCCCTGAGCAAGAAAATGATGGGAGCTGGAATTCCAACCAAGGGCTTCCCAGGTCAGGCTCTAGCTGGCTCCCAGGAGTGGGGAGAGGGTGGGCATAGGTGCAGGAACTGAGGGTGGAGAAGGACCCAAGCCCCCACATTTATTACCCTTCTCGTTACACGAGAAGAAGCCATAGGGTCCACTTTGCTTCCTCTAATGCATCAGCCAGGAATTGGGGACCTCAGCAAGGGGAAGACACCAACTTGGGACAAGGATAGGAGACTTGCTATCCTGGGTACCAGGGGGACCAGGGGAGTGGGCAGGAGGAATGGAAGTCCCCAGAATGCAAAGCTAGAGGAAATCCATGCCACAGAGAGAAGGGGCCTGGGAAGGGTGGGCTGGATCCCCCCCCACAGGGATGGTAAATAGGGGGTTGGAAGGCCCACTGCAGGAGTAGGAATGTAGCTGATTATATGCATCAGCCTCCGACCTTATTTGGTGGGAACCTAGATGGGCAGAGGGGGATGGAAAGTTCCAGAAGTTTATTTGCTTATGGCGAGGGCATTATTCTTGCTCGGAGAGGCAGCTCTGGGATAGCACAGGCTCCCACACCCTGCAGTGTCAAGATTTTGGCCAGTTCTGCTTGAGATGAAACACACACACACACTCAAACAACAGGATAGTTTAGCGTCAGATTGCTAAACGGCCCTTTCTTAGAAGTCTGTCTTTATTCTAAGATTATATCCTTGCCACATTTTCTGTGTTAAAATGCCCTTTTGTGAAATCCTGGTGCCGGGAGATGGTATTTTTTCTGCCCTTGGCCAAATAAAAACTTGGCATAAGGTTCTGTGTTTGTTCCCAAAAATCGTTTCTGAAGTGTTAAGGTCTGTGAGTTCCAAAAGCCTGGGAACCCCAGCTGTAAACAATAGAGTGTGGTGCTAGAAAACAGAAGTTGTAGAATTAAATTCTTTTCCATCACTTGCTGCATGTATGTGCCTCAATCTTCCCCATGTGTAAAATGGTCTCAATGATATTTAACTCAGGTGTTATCGAGAAGACTGCATGCACCCACTGTAGACTTTGATTTGTAGTAAAATCTCAGAAAATGTCAAATGCAGAGATGGTAGAGTGAAACCTGTATTTCCCAATTAGTCACTTGACTTTCTGGAATCCAGTTCTGATTTATTCATGTTGACACTGTGTTGGGACGAAAGGGAGCTCTTACTGTACAATGTGCTTCCTTTTATTTCTCCATCCCTGGTAAGCTGGCTGGGTCTCCAAGCCCCAAACCAGACTGCAAGCCCCACAGACAGCTGTGCTCAGACCCCTGAGAAGGCTGTGAGGGCTGGGGAACCATGCCTGGGGACAGCTTCATCTTTTTGTCGCGTGTAGACAGGGCTCAGCCCAGCCCACCTTCTGCTCTGCTCCCCAGCCTATGTGCTGTGCAGGGCTGGAGAGGGATCAGGGACACATAGACTTCCCGCTGGGGGTTCTGATCTGGAGAAAGAACACTGGCATAAGCAGCATCCTCTTTAGCTTTCCTGTCCCAAGCCTTCCCAAACAGGAAAGGGCACACAGGAAGCAAGCGGGACTGGCCAGAGATGTCAAGGGAGAATAAATAAACCAGCCCGTCTTGACCGAGCCCTCAGGTACACAACCCAGTGTGTCTATGCGTGTGGTGATGGCTGAGAAGGTAGTGGGTGGCCTACTTGGGCAGTGCCTGGTCTGGTAGAAGCAGCTGAAGGCTACCCCAAGCCTTTAGAATGGAGGCTCAGAGGGAGTGGTTCAGAAGCTCAGAACAATGGCTCTCCTCAGGGTAATCATGGTGGGCTGCCTGGAGGAGGTGGAAAGACAGCTATACTTCTAGGCAGCATTGCTCTGAGTGAGTCTGCATATCTATTACGGGGAAACAGTGAGTGGAGTAGTTTGGCAGGAAGGAAGCCTATGATTCTCTTGGTGGGGTTAACAAGGATAGGGCTGGGGGTCCTGTCTTTGGAGACTACTAAGCTGCTGCCCTAAGCTGTCCCTAGGAGAAAGTCTGCTGTTTCCACAGAAGGACAGTATTGGGTCCTTTTGATCCCATCCTCCAGCACCCTCAGCCCTGAACTATACCGGGAGCCCACATGCCCACCCTCCTCCTAACCACATTAAGCCCACAGGGAGCAAGAAGGCCCTCCAGGCCCCACTTCCTGTTGGGTCACCATCTGCTTTCTCCCCAGTTCTGCCAGGCCTCTCTAGGATCCAGGCGTGAGAGCTACTGAACCAGCCCCTGCCTCTCCCAGGACCCCGCCTGTGAGCACCACAGCCATGCAGAGCCCAGTGCCCTTTCATCTCCAAGCCAGTGCTGGCCCCTGGGCTCCTGCTGTCCGATGCTCCCCCATCCTGTGCAGCCGGTGGCTCCCTGGGGTTCTGCCAGGGCACCGGGTGGCCCTCGGGCCCCTAGCCCCACCCCTCGCCGAGGAAGGCTGGGGAAGGACGTGCTGACAGCTCAGCCAGGCCTGGACTGTGTCTCTGTGTCCTGCCAGGGCTCCAGGACGTCTGGGCCACCTGGACTCGGAGCCAGGGTGGAGAGAGAGGCACTGGGAGGGGAGGCTCCCGGGGTATGGGCTGAGAGGAGCTGCCAAGAAATAAGTAGCAGAGACTTCTGTATCCTGAGTCTGGAATTCTCCACATATCAGGGCTGAAGTGGGTTCACAGCCCCTGTGGAGGAGGGGAGAAGAGGCTGCCGGCATTGCAGAGGGAAGGAAGGAAGGGACAGGATGAGAAAGTGGGCAGGATCAGGTGTTAGGCAGAGGGGTGAGAACAGCTGGGGAGACCGGGCTTCCCACGGACCCCAAGATGGCCCAGGACCTGGCTTCTCTCTCCCCTAAGCAGGACAGCTCACCCTCATGCCCTCCTCCCTGATACTTTATACACCACCCCATCAACTTCTCCATGTTTTCTCTTTTCCCCAACTTCACATGAGCCCTTTCATTTATCTAGCAAGTGTGCACAGCAGCTGTTATGTGACACCGGACAATCCAGCCCCCAATCTCCAGCCACCTCCAGGCTGTGGCTAGAATGAGACAGATTCTAGAGCCCACAGAGAAAAGAGGCAGGGACAAGAGCATGTGCTGTGGACAAGTGGCATGGGGACAGAAGAAGGAGGAGGCAGAGCACAGAGGGGGGCAGGGGAGACGGGGCTGAATTGGTCTTTCAAGAAGGCAGGTGTGCCTGCCCTCCGTGGTGGCACACACCTGTCATCCAAGCACTCTGGGAGGCTGAGGCAGGAAGAACCCAAGTGTAAGTCAGCCTGGACAACTTAGTAATTTAGCAAGACCCTGTCTCAAAATCAAAAGGACTGGGGATATAGCTCAATGTGAAGGCCCTGGGTTCAGTTTCTAGTGCCCCCCTCACCAAAAAAGAAGGCAGGTATGATTGGAGAAGTGGAGAGAGCAAGGTGGGCAGAAGAGCGGACTACACTGTGAGCAGAGGGAGGCCGAGGGGAGCCCTGGAGCAGGGGTGGGTAGCAGGTTGGTTGGGGGCCACAGCCATGGAGACACAGAGGTGGTTGGTTCTAGAACAGTGGGATTGACCTGAGTGACTTAAGAGAGGCCAGGACTTTGGGCTGGACCATCGGGTTGTGCCTGGGAACCCATCCCTGTGCCCGGCTCTGCAGTGAGTAAACTGCAAAGAGGAAGATGCATTCCCTGCCCCAGAAGCCCACAGTGGGCCCAGGAGAGGAAAGTCCTGCCTGAGGCTGCTCTGTCCCCCCGTGGCCCACGGAGGGAGCCACACTGAAGCGGGTGCCTGGTTGGGAGCTCCGCTCCCCAGCTCCCTTTAAGGCAGGATAACTTGCTGTCACGGAGCCACTTCTGGTGTGTGACAGAGCTATGCCTCGCAGGCCACCCACAGGGCCCAGAGAATAGGCAGAGCAACAACAGGGACTGCAACAGGGACTGTGTGGTACAGTGACAGGAGCCGTGAGAGACAGATGTGACAAGAACTGTGACACACTCTGGCATGGCTCTCTCATACAGACAGTAGCGGGGGCTACGACGGACGGTGATGAGGGCTGTGACACAGTGACGGGGCTGTGGCAAGGACTCTGATAAAACCTGTGACAAGCTGTGACAGAGACTATGATAGAGACAGGATTTACGACATGGGCTGTGACAGAGGCTATGCTAGAGACAGAGACATGGGTTATGACTAGAACCAGTAACATGCTAGTCAGGGCTGTGACATGCGTCTGTGACAAGGGCTCTGACGGAGGCCGTGATAAAGACTATAATAGAGTGTGACAGAGGTTGTGATAAAGGCGGTGACTGAGAGTGTGATGGAGCTGTGATAGAGGCTGTGACAGAGGCCGTGACAGACACTATGACTGGGACTGTGGCAGGGCTGTAGTGGGCTGTTCTAAAAGCCATGACATGGTTGTGACAAGCTGTCACAAGGGTTGTGACGGGCTGAGGCATGGTCTCTGACGGGCTGTGATGGGCTGTGACAGAGGCTTTGAAAAGCACTGAGACAGAAATGTGACTAAATCTGGAAGCACAGTCAGAGTTGGGACAACAGTTCCTGGAGCCTGGGCCCATACTCCCACGGTGACAGAGCAGTTGGCGGTGACAGCAGCAACACAGCACAGACCCGGGCCAGGCGTCTGTGGAGACGCTGCAGGCTGAGGCTGCCACGGGAACGTGGTGTCAGGGCCGTGAGAGTGGCTGCTTCCTCCAGCGCTGCCGCAGAAGCCTGTGTCCCTGGGCAGGCTCTTGGGGGCTGCCCTTTGCATGTCCCCAAAGGCCAAGTGTGAAGGCTTCGTCTCCAGCCTGTGTGCTATTGAGGGGGTGGTGGAACCTGCAGGGGTGGGGCCTAACACGGAAGTGCGTCATCGGGGGCGTGGCCTTACAGGGTGTAGCGATTGGAGTTCCTCTGCTCTTTAGGAGGGAGCCTCTTCATTCCCATGACTCCCAACTGTGATGTTCTGAGCCACCACAGACCCAAAGGGTGGGGTGGAGATCATGAAGAAACCCTGTGAAACTGGGAACCTAGATAAACTTTTCTTCCTTTGTTTTTGTTTTTTTGAGACATGGTCTTGCCTGTTGCTCAGGCTGGTCTTCAACTTCTGGGCCCAAGCCATCATCCTGCCACAGCCTCTCAAGTAGGTGGCGTGCATCATCATACCTGGCTCGTTTCTTCCTTTTGAAAAAAAAAGTATTATTTTTATTAGTACATGTTTGTAGTAACACGATGATTACATTCATCATGCTGATTTCCTCCTTTTGTATCATCTACAGTGACAGAAAGCTGACTACCACACTGGCCCTCAGTTTTCTTTTGTTTTTTTTGAATCTGCCTACCTCAGGAAACGTTTACAGAGAGAGGTAGGTGCTAGCGTGGACTGTGGGGGCCCTAAGTTATTACAAGGTCTCTGACTCTCCAGTCTCTCGAAGTGCATCCTGCTGATGGTGTCCACGATGTGCCTTCCACATATACGAGTATTTCCCTGGTGTGTGCAGGTGTTGCTGTGTTGCAAGGAACCAGACTCGTGTTTGTGTTGAAGGATAAGCAAATTTAGAGTCAGGATCACTGACGTTTTTGGAGCGCTTCCTCTGTGCCAGGCACCACGCCAAGTACCCAGCATGGATTAGCTCTTGTAATCCCTGCTGGAGCCCTGTCAGGTGAGTGGTATTATCCCCATTTTACAGATGATTAAATTGAGACTCGAAGAGGTTGACTAACTTCCCAAGCTCCAAGGTTAGAGAAGAGCAGGGCTTAAGGCCAGTCACGGGTGACCTAGTCTATGTTCCTATCCATGAGTAGCTTTTGAAATCACAGTTGCTGTTGTGTCACGTGTATTTTGAAGTTCATAGGCAGAAATGTTTTCAGTGGAAAAGGAGTCCTCATACTCAGCCGGCAGGGACCTTCAGGGAAGCAGCTGTCTAGTTTGTGGATGCATGGGACCCTCTGTCTGCTCTCTGCCTCCACCCCAGAACTAGACTGGGTGGTGGAGATGAGCCGGATGTGAATGATTTTTTTTCTTTCTTTCTTTTTTGTACCGGGAATCAAACTCAGGACCTTGGCTTCTGAGGCAGGCGGCAGCACCACTGAGTTAAATCCCCGGCCAGGATGTGAATTTCTACCCACGTTGCCAGAGCACTATTAACAATTTCAAGGACTATCGTTTTTGTACCTTTTGGTCAGGGCCTTACTTCCGGCTTTTTATAGAAGGCCACTCCTTTGTTCTCCTTGAGGGATGGACTTCCATTCTCCCTGCCCTCCATGGTCAGGAAGTGAGGTGAGGACTTCCTAAGGCTCCTCCCAGACCATCACCCTTGCTGCCCATAAAAATGCACATGACCACCTGTTCCTCTGAGGCTCCCACAGCCGACACCCATGGCTGTCACCCAGGCTCCTTTCCTAGCTGGCTTCCTCCCTGCCTAACTCTTGCCGTCACGGAGGACGCTCCATGTGAACTCTGGCCCTGACTTTTGGTGCTCAGGGACTGAACCTTGAGTTCATGGACACAACCTAGAAAGGCTCCACCTCTGAAATCTGAAATTCAGGCTCCGCTGTTGGACCTCAGCTCTGCTTTTTCCCTTGCGTCTCACCAGTGTCAGCCTGGGAGCTGTGGAAGAACTCGTCATGCATGATGACTGCATCCAAACCCTCACCCTAAGAGCCTTAAATAAACACTGGCATAGTTCTCTAGCTCAGTGCTGCATCCCTACAGTGACAACTCCAGCTCCACGTGGCTCCTGCCTGGGAAAGCTCAGGGCTGCCACAGTGATTAACTGTTTGTTTTGGTCTGCACTGGAAGGTCTCTGTGTCCTGGTGTTTGTGAGATGGGAGGACATCCCTTCACTTTCATGAAGACCAGATCATTCACCCAGATGGCCAAGCCACTTGAGCCAAACCCCCCTTTCCCTGCGTGCCTCTCTCCTGGTTTACCAAACCTTTAAAAATGTTCCAGCCTCGTATTTCAGAGAAGCAGAATTCAGGTCATACTGGATTCTCTTCTCTATTGAAGTAGTTACCATTGAACAAAATCTGTCCTTACCATTTTAACAAGTATCTGGCTTTTTCTTTGGCAATAGTGAGTTCTGCCCACTCATCTCTCCTGCCTGCAATACCTCCCCTCCTCAGCATAGGTCCTGAGATCCACTATTTCTACCTTCTCTTGTCTCATCAACCTTTTGCTCTGTCAAACTGGAAACCTCAGCTCTGTGTCACTCCAACCCATGACCCTCTCTGCTATAGCATCCCCCTGATGCCACCTGAGAAAACCACACAGATTTGTGCTGCCTCAAATTCATGATTTCTCCCAGCACTCTAGGAGGCTGAGGCAGGAAGATTGCTAGTTCAAGCCTAGTCTGGACAATTTAGTGAGTTTAGCAAGAACTTGTCTCAAAATAGAAAATGAAAAAGGGTTGGGGATGTAGCTCAGTACTGAGGCCTTGAGTTCCAGCCCTAGTACTGAAAAAAAAAAAAATTCCCAGTCTCTAACATGCCTCAGTGCTGCCTACCAATCTGTTAAATAGTGCATTTACAATAGCATTTTCTTATTCTGCCGTGTTTCCATCAGTTACCACTTCTGCCACAATTTCAACCACTTTCTGTGGGATCCTTCCTGTCAGCATTTCATCCTGATCAAAGCTCTGCTGTCCTGCTGTCCTCCAGCCTCGTGGTCCCTTTCTCTGGTTCCCATCGCATCTGGCCTTCTCCACCAGAGGGTGGGCTTCACTCCCTGCCTTCCATTGCTCCTTCCTCAGCTCTCAGCAAGATTCCTCTCCCCATCCGATCTGCAGCAAGGCCACTGGCGACCTCCTGAGTACCAGTCACCTTCTGTTCGTCCCTCACTGACCTCTGGGCATTATGCAGGACTGCCATTTCTCCCCTCCGGAAATGCCTTCTTCCCTTGATGT